TAGTGGTCGACCGATATGGGTTTTTTGACAGCTTTTTTGACTGCCGATATCTTGGAAAGCAGGGTGGCCGATGGCCGATATAAAGCCGATATAATTGTATTTATTTTAATTAATATTTAAGAAATTTGAAATCATTTGAAAATGGATTAAAAAATACATTTGTAAAATAAACATACTTATACTTTAGATGACAAAGTATTTTCCACAAATAAATAAATAAATATTTAATAAAAATATAATTAAAAAGGAAGTAAACTGTAACCAACAGAGCACTCAGTATTCTGGGAAGTTTGTGTGCATTGGCAATCATATTTTTTTAAATAAAGCCAAGGTAACAATCATTTTACATACAGCACACAGTGAAAATGACATGAATATGACAGTGGGCAAATGCATAGTATGCAGCATAATTTGAAATCCCAAATTTAATGTTTAAAGCATTCGATTTGCACGGACCGAAAGTCACACAGAGAACACGCGATCATGCAGGTCACATGCACACTTCACAAGATCTCACAACTGGATTCGACTAAGTCTGCAAGGTTTGTGAAATTAAATTTTCATTAGCCATTCAAAGATTTGTTTAAATGATGTAAATGCGTATTTGCTGAATGCTGAAGGCAAACGAGAAAGTATTATAATGTTTGCCTTTCTATTACTAATAATATAAAAGCAATCATTATAATACTTTTAGTTTACATTTTAATTCCTTTGTTTAACAGTTTTATCGGATTATTAGACAGACTTCTATCCGTATTAGACAGAACTGTTAACAACGACGTAGTCTCAGCCTCAGACGTCACGCCCACGGAAGGTTGGCTAAACGTCTGATGCATATGGCACACAAAACTGGAAACACTTCAGGAGTTTCGAAGTCGTCATCGGATTGGTTGAACTATACAGGATTTCCGGGAGACGTGTGTGACGCATTCTATAACGTTCCGCCTGGAAACAAAGATGCCGTGACGCCAAACCCCCTCACGAAAGAAGAAAGCCGTCGTGTTTACAACTGTGACGACGAGGGCTTATCAGGATCAACTAAACACTGGATTCTCAAAAGTATGACTTTTTTTTTTACACAACGGTCTGTTATTGTGGCGACATTTTCATGCCCCGAAACGTGACGCTGAAACGAAATGAACTGTGATTGGTTGTTTGACATGTCAGTCAAACGACCTCATGGGCAGGCCTTGGCCAATGAAAGCTGCCATGGATTCTCGCTACGCGAGACTAACGACGACGACGAACAAGAGGGAGAATGTGAGCACAGTGTGCTCAGGCGCTGGCACTATCAGCGGCGTCAAAATAAAAGTCCCGCCTCGAACTCATCGGCGAAACAGAAAAACTTATCTGCCGATGCCGATATTTGAAAAATGACAAATATCGGCCGATATATTGGCCTTGGCGATATATCGTCGACCACTAGTTTTGTGTCGTCGTGCCGGGACACGGCATCACAGTATGGTAAGGGGCGTAACATTTCCGTCACACGTTTGAGGCATTCGGCCAATCACAACGCACTGGATAGCTGGCCAATCAGCATACACCTTGCTTTTCAGAACAGTAAGCTTTGTAAAAATCGATGCATTTCAGAAAGGCGGGGCATAGAGGAAAAACAATAATGTACAGTATGTGGAAAATAATGTGTTTTTTGAACCTTAAACCACATAAACACATTGCATTACACCAAATACACAAAATAATGTTCTTTTTAGCAACGTCATATGACCCCTTTAAACGACTCTTTATGGTCAGAACATGACAAACACATTTTTTAATTCTTTACATTTTTCAAGCCATTTTCCCTTAGCAAAATAAATATCTTAATAGAAAAATAAATTTCTGAGTTTCTGCATGTTCTAATGAGTGATATTGTTTCAAATCATGAAACGGGTTTGTGTAGCCTGACTTTGATGATGCATATCTTCAGCACAGTTTGTAGTGCAGGCTGCAATATTAATATTACATTTTTTTGTCTCTTAGAAATGCACATTTGACAGTAGCTTGAGTTCACAGCTTGAGTTAGGATACAGATGTAAATTTATGTTCGTTATCAAAAACAGAAACATCTGTAAAAATGGTAACAACCTCATTTTTATATGGTGAAATTGAATTACTCTGACTGATTGTTTTATTAAAATTAACCATTGGTCTTCCATAGTAGGATACATTTAGAGCATGTTGTCTATATGGAACAATTTCCATATACACTGGAGTTGAGTGTTCATTAAGCATAAATACCGTTAAGGAAGTTTGCTCTAGTAGTCTAATTTACACGCACACACTCCTGCATCAAACAGAAAGTGAATTTGAGCTTTGGCCAGTCACAGAAAGTGAGATGTTGTTTTGTATTTTTCTTTTAGATTGTTTCAATAAACCTGTTTTTAAAGCATACTTCATGGTGTGGCTGCTGTTATTGCTTCTTTAGTCTAATTGCTACAACCTACACCGGCAGTGGGGTAGATTGTAATAAACGCACACCATGTATCTGACATCATCTTATAAGGGCTGTGATATTCTTGCAGAGGTTTGAATTGGTGCCTTTTGTAGTAAACAAATGTGGGTGCTTTGTATAAATGTTTGAACAATCTAGCTTGAAGATTCAGCTAGTTACAGATGCTGAAACAAAAACCCTAACAACATACAGCACACACACACTCACTCAAGCACCTCTGTAGTCTATTGACGGTTCAATTTCTTTTACCTCCACATATAATTTCACCTCATTCTCTCCATAAGCACAAGAGTTGATATGGAAGAGTGAAATCACAGCTAGAGGAATGGAATGACAGAGAAGGTTGTTCCAGCTCACCTGGTTATTGGCAGTTTTCAGTAGAGGTTGGGGGTCATTATGGGGCAGTGGTGAAGAGGTAGAACTATTTTCACTATCACTGCCGTCACTTAAACTCACCCTGCAAAATACGTGACAGATATTCACCATTCATTATCCCCTTCTGAGTATCCAGCTACACAGCATGGTATGCAGGCAAGGATATATAATTTTTTTCTTCCCCCTCTGCAGCCAGGGTTAGTTAGTTGGTAGTTTTTTTCATGGATATTTACCTGCGGTGGCGATGTGTCATCTGCGTGTGCAACGGTCGCTCCATGTCCGAGTCCATGTCATTATCGTCCTCCTCTTCCGAATCCTCTTCGATTTCATCTGAGTGCAAATCTGCGATCACCGACCGTAAAGGACCCAATACTACAGGTGAATAAGAAAGGCAAATGTCTACAAAAGCATTTATTTCTTTAGTGTAATATTTCAACATTGAAGTCATAAGATGCATTGCACGCTCACATCCAGTCAGATTTCTCTAATATTATTAAAATAAATTTATATATTGGTAGTAAAGTGTACTCTTTGGGTAAGAAAAGGGAATTGACACACTGACCCATAATAAGGCCAGGCTTTCTCCAAGCCAGCCAAAAGCAACAGGATGTGGCAAATATTGGAAAGGTTACCTTGCCGTTTGTGTGTGCGTCCAAAGCCGGAGCTCGAACTGGAACTGGAGCTGGCTGGACTGGGCTGATCCGACTAGGAAAGAAGGCAAAGTACCAACTCGATAAAAATAATAATACCAATATCAAAGCATTTTGGTTTTGCGTGCTCAAGAAGTCTGAGCATGAAATGATGTGGGAAATTAGCACTTTCTGCTTTTTGATATCTCCCAATATACCGGCTCTGTATCACATGACATTAACATCAAAAAGACATTTACTAAGCTTTGCACACTATTGCTTTTCTAATGACACAAAACTGGTTTTGCGGTCTTATAATTACAAATCCACGGTGAAGCTACCACAGGGGGCAATATTTAAAAAATATATATAACCAATTATAATTTATAATAAAATCAGTGACATTTTTCTGGCTCAAAAAGAAGAACAGTTGTAATAATAATAATAATAATAAATTAAGTAAATAAATGAATTAATTAAATACTGCATGCCACCTAAGAACACGTTAACTGACTCTGAAAGAGAACCAAATGCAGTTACTTGTGAGGCCATTTCCACGATCTTCTGTTCCACACTAGAGGCTTTGATGGATATTAGTGTCACTTCCTCACTGTAAATCAGTGGGTTCCTCGTTCACCCGACCTAATGAAGGCTGATTTATGGTCACACAGATCCCTTTGGGGCTATGCTCACACTAAAACTTCCTACTCGCACAGGACTCTTCACTTTGAGTGCAAAAAAAAAAAAAGCTATATAAAAAGTTAAATATGCAAAAGACACTATTAATCCAAATAATGTTGCTAAAATGGTCAGACTGTACTGAAAAATAACACCAAAACAGATTTTAGCTCTCCATACTGCTGGAAAATATGAATACTGGTCTTTGCCGTAAACGAAAACAAAAGTGAAGGGAATGAGACACTTATTCAGTTAGTAAGTCCATCAGGCTAAGGTGAAACTAGATTTAGTGGAGGCCTCTTTGAACCGTTGCATCTGTAGATTAATTGTTGAGGATCCCACAATTTATGAGGCACCTTTGAACTCGTAGGGCTATATCTCACTACAGAGCCAAGCCTCTCAGAACAATGGGACTGTGATTGATTGGATTCATGGAGGTAGCAGACGTGTTTTTAAAGGGCCCCTATTTGCTTTTAGAGACACATGCACCATGTTTACTGAAAATACCATTAAAATGTACCCAATCACATCTTGTGCTCTTTTCTGTATGAACAGTTATCCTTGTTAAAGACATGTTTAATCCAAGGTTTCTGGTTTTTATAAAGGTAAATTTAAGACAATTTCTACACCTTTTTAAAGACAAATTAAAGAAAATTTACAGAATAAATATATATGTTTTCTAAATGTAAATGTTTATGAAGCCCAATGAGTTGTATTAGCAACACTTTCAAGTAAAAAAAAAAAAAAAAAAAAAAAAAAAA